ATATAAGTTTAAAGTACCTAAAATTTTACAAGCGCTTTTCCACGTGCGAAAAAGTATAGGGAGTCAAATCACTACTGAAGGATTGTGGTCTACATGACATACAAAAAATGAGGAACGGAACGGACTAAAATGTAAAGCCTTGTTGAGGAATAGCCGTAACAAATTAAAACATGTATTGCATGTTATAAAGAATGAAAGAGGTGACCACAAACGCAAAATGTGTGCAAGTATCAATAAAAGCACTCCTTGTTTAAACGAATTGTCCACTACCATGTGTCACTGTAGGAAGTCCAATTGGCAACGTTTATACTTCATTGAAATGCTTGAGATACGTATAGTTAAATCTTGCTCCATACACCCATACACCGTAAAGTGTTTTTGTGACATTCTGTTTCCGTTTTATTGACAATCCATCAACTCTTTGCATCCACTTTATCATCAACGTAAGCGCTAAATTTTTCCGCAGTCGTTGATTTCGATATTTGGATGTGGGCACAATACCAAAAGCTTTGAACTTAATCTACGCACTCTTAAAGCAAATACGTCTTAGCATGAATGGGGTTTAGCCTCTTCCCTTACTGTCTAAGGACATTCATTTGAAGCCACTTGTAGTGTGTCATTTAGGCATTTTTTAGTAACTTACCCTATCTGCAGCCTTGTTGTCTCCTCGACGAAGCGCTTCTAATTCTACACTCCTCAAGTCTGCAAGTCTTGCTTTTAAACTGTGGTAATCCATGCATCAAGTCTATAAGTTGATGAAAGAAGATTTTTGTTTGGATCAAGTCTTTCATTTCACTTAATAACAGGTATAAAAATTCGATGAAAAGTTTTATAATGTGACCTAGTGATGACGGACAGTTGATCACTAATTGATATGGAAACATGATTGAAGAGTCGCTGCGTTGTAATTGTAGTAAGTAAAAAATAAGATTTCATAAAAACTGCGCAAGAAATAATACCTACTTAATCAGGCAAAAACATATATGTACGCAACTGAAAGAAACTGCTGGAAACATTCTCTAATACTTTTCAGCTTCATTTCCAGTATAACCCGTTTAGTTTAGCTAAATTTGATTTTTTTTCTAACGGACTGTTAATTCTAATCAACTCAGAAGGAAGGGCGTTTACTAATACAACACAGGGCCCAGCATTTATTTTAAGGAAAATTGATTGCCATATCACCTTCGAATTACCTATAGCAGATATTTTTCAAATAAATGCTTGTTTTAGAGGGGAATACTTTCTTTTTAATTCCCAAATCTCATCTCGGGGAAACATTTAATGAGGATAAATACCGCTTACTAATTAAACTTGCATTTTGCCCACCCAATCAATAGATTCCAACAACAGTTCGTCGACTTTGGCTTGTAAAAAACAACAACAAAGAAATCTTCATTAAAAAAACAACAACAACAGAGAATCGAAAAATGAGCCGATCCCTATTAAAATTGAGTAATTAAAAAGAGTCACGGCCATCACACGGTATCTCGTTTTATAGAGTGACTTGTATTGTGTGAAGTATATGCCTGTGACTAATGTTGACTCTACCTGTTACAAAACGATCCTAAAACTCACCAAAATGACAGTTCATCGACTAATTTTAATGAAGATTTTAATTACAGGTTCAATGTGAGCTGACTAATCATGCTTAGGTGCACGGGCTCCTGAGAGAAATGTGCAATTCTGCTGAGATTGTTTTTTGTTAAGGAGGTTAATTCGACTTTAACATTTGTGTCTATCCTACGATAGGATTAAGTATGCATAACCTTTCTTTCCAAACTCTTGTGCGATGATTAAAAACATAACTCTCAGAGCTGTAAAATGACGGGAAACTTATAGAGCCGTTCGAATTTTGATCATTTTCAACGTGATATGAGACGGCAAAGAAACTGCAAAACTGAAAAATTCCAACTTTACAACATCAGTTTTTACATCAGAGATAACGGCTGAGATGCAACAAAAAAACGCAACCATCACTGTTTAATACCTACAAAAAAAGGACTAAAGAAGGCACAGAAAAATGAGTTTTTTTTTTCCTTAGTAGTGAATAAAAGGGTAATTTGATAAAAAGGTAGTTCTCGGTTCATGATTTATAAGCTTTCCTCGTGTTCTCTCAACATCTCACTTGGCTTCAGCACGTTATGGAGCCCGGAAAATGTGTGCTCTTGCTGAAAAAAACAACTGACGAGAAGAGCGTGCAATCCTCAGTATCTTGTCAAGGGAAAAGCACAACCTTTGCCAACTCCTTAACTCTTTCAGAGAAAAAAAAAAAACAATCCGTCGCATTGGTGAAAGAAAAAATCTAAGCGCCCTAACCTCAATACCACTTCACGCCTTTTTTCAGTTCCTCTCCCACTCCAACGTTTTCAATACTTTTAAACTTCAAATGTCTGCACTCGATGTTGCGGATTGGTCAGCACAAAGGTATTTTTAGAAAATTTAAAGGGTAAGCGAGTGAACCTACAAGCATTTATAAGTCGCGAATCTATCCCTTTAAAGCCATAGAAATGGGCTTTTACCCCTTAAAAATCGCTGTTACCCTAACATGTGGCACTTTGGTAACATTTTCGTCATTAACACGCTATAAATTAACGAACAACTTATCAAAAGAGCCAGTACTTGCGCATGATGTGAAGATAGTTTCGAATGATAGATCTATAGCCTTAACTCCGAAGAAAATCTTTTATTAACGTTTCTTTTTGAGGGAGACGGAAAGGTGAAAAATGTGCCACACTTTACGTCTAGAGAGAGAGAGAAAGAAAGAGACACGTGGCTGATCTCTAGTCTCCTTTTCAATATATCGACAATTTCCTCGCGCTTATTTTTTATGCATTTCCGAAACTCTGTTATAGGCCTGGCATATTTAGCAGAGTTAGGTAAATTATTCTCACTTATATTCAACAAAATAGGGCTGCAATATTGAAAATGGGGCAAAACGTATGCCTTCTATAATTTAAGAATAATGCAGTTTGTTATTTAGTAAAACGCCTAGAATTCTTAGCGTCTCCTGAGGCATAAAACTTCTACTGTTCAGTTTAGAGTCAAAATTATATTGGGATCTACCCAAAGTCATTACTTGCGTTTTTGATGCCTTGACTTGTAGAAAGTTATCTGAGAACCATGTAGCGAGAACATCAATATCCTTGTTTAGCAGAAAGTCGAAAGCAATGTGGAAATCATCGGAAACATACTGAGAGATCATTCGTTGGGCTCTTCAGCCGGATACATTGTTATGACTGTTCTGGCCACATACCATTCACAGCGGTTGCAGTATCGTGAGGTAGTACATACGAATCTTACAAAGTAAGTTTCCTCTGTTGCGATGCTCCATGGTGTAACTGGAAACTTCCCAACGGCAAAATCGAACGGGCAATGAAATATCAATCTTGGGTTTTGTAAACGCTTGTCTTTATGATAAAAGACAGGTTTTCCTTTGATATTTCCGGCAAGAAGTTCTCTCTTAAATGTTTTGAAGACTCGCCTTTCCACGTTTCTATAAAATTCTGAGTTCCCCATGACCTCAGGTAATTTTTTTGAATGTTTTAAAACGTGTTTCCAGTTTATACCGACTTGTTTAAGACTGTCACTACACAGGCGACAAAATGGACTCATGGCAAAAATAGAAAGAAATCAGCTTGATAATGACAACGGCTGAAGAGCACAAACGTCAATAGGATGTATTAATGGCGAGCGTGCGTTTTGATTTCGATTTCTTAATCGAGTTCACGAAAACTGGGCTTTGGAAGTTGCGTTTATTTGACCGCGCGGAGATTGGATTCCAAGATACACGCAAGCTAATTACTCGCGAGAAATAAGCGATGGTGCGCGGGAGTTGTAAACAAACATGGCCGCCATGAGCGTTTCAAAGTTGCTGGGTACCTCTATTGTTCCCAGGGGAAGCGGTTGTTTGAGAAACAAAAATGGACAGTTTACTTCTTGAAAGCAGGTAGGAGAATGTTCGGATGGCAGGATTCTTGCCGAAAGTGGTCAAAAGAATTTTATTTAAAGAGCTAAACGAGGACGGTGAGGTCGACACCCCATCAATAAGTCGTATCGAGTGTATTCGGTAGATCTTGCTTTGTTTCGCGAAAAATTTAATTTGATACCTCTGAGTGCTACGATTTGTTTCGCATTGAATTTGATTCCTAATAAAATGAAATGACCGAGAACTTTCCTAAATAACTCAGTGGAAGATGAAAAGGAAATTAAAATCATTGTTGGATCCAGGATTGTAAACATTGACAGTTTTGTAAGCGGAGATGGAGAGGTGTAAATGTTGCCATAAAAATAAACATAATTTTCAGTAAACAAGAGATCGTAAAGATGTAGATAAGACTTTAATTCTAATAGCCCATTTCCGAATTACCCTTGGCCTCATTTTCAAAACGAGTCCTGGTGCTCATCCTTTCATACCATAATAAGTCTTCATTCACATGCAAATCAAACTCATTTTCACAAGAATGGTTGAGCACGAGGCCTCGTTTTGAAAATGAGGCCAAGGGTAATTCGGAAATGGGCTATTTAAAATATTCATCTTAATTATAAACTTATCAGAAAGATTGTTGATATTTCCTTCGATAAATTGTAAATTACAACAACGAAAAAACTCGCATTTGTTAAGAAAGGATCAATGAAGCCAAGGCTTGTTCATACCTCTAGTACCTTGATAATTATTCATAGAAATTTGCGAAATCTGTGACGACCAACAAATTGTTGATGTATATGAAGCCCTGATTTCCGCTAAGTTTGACGCTCATGACAATCTGGAAGACGTCAAAGCAAATTCTTTTCACTCCAAATTGTTTTCACTCCTCCGCTTCAAATTGCACATGAACAATTATATCGGTCAATCATGGTAAATGTGCATCGCCGAATGAGACCTTCGATCGAGCCATCTTCTCCGAGCAACGACAAGATACCATCCAGACGTTCGATGGAGGGCTTCATCTTTCGACAAACATGGTCTAGAAGCTGGCAGATGCTGGTTTGTCTCATGTTACACTACAATCTCTGTACGAGAAACTCAACATTAGCGACCTCAATGGAGTACTGGCATTGGCGCCATCTGCAAAATCAACTTGTCATCAGATATCGAATTCCGCAAGAGATTTCTCTTCGGAGTTTCTCTCCGGAGTTCATTTCCAACTCTCGAAACGGTAAGCAGTGAGTCTCAAATGATGACTTAATTTTCAGGAATGTGTAAAATCGCAAGACAATGTGAATCCTTCTTCAGGAGGAACGATTATTTTCGCGCTGAGGACATCCGTCGATTAATCGCGCGGACACGGACTCGTCCTCGCGAAGATGAGCCCTTGAGTCAGCGGTATCGTTTAAATCGCGTTAGTGGATATAAAAGTGTGAGCTAAAATTTCAAAAACCGGAGATAAACCTTGCTAAGTTTATGAAGTAATATCTCAAAAATTAGCTCGGTGACCTACCCTTACTTTTTGTGTACAAATTATTTTTATCATTACTCCTTCCTGAAGAAAATGTTTAAAAAGATTATCTAGTGGAAATTCTTTTACATTCTAAAACAGCATTTTCTTAAATAATTTAAGTTCTACTAGATTTTTTTTTTATATCACGTATACAGGTAAAGAATGTGATGATGTTTAAGAAATTTGAAAAACAAAACTAGGTCACCGACTTGGTTTTTGAGATATCTTTCAAAAACTGAGTTTTGGCAGGTCTTTTAGCACTACTGTACTCTTGCCATGGCAACATAATGCCTGACGA